AAAAAAAAAAAAAAAAAAAAAAAAAAAAAAAAAAAGGACAGGCTCGTTGCAGCTCAAGCGAAATAGTTTAACTCACCTGAAACATTTTGTTTTCAAATGTCGGCGCCTTTAGTAAAACTCCAGTCCCTTTTTGCATGGAAAGCGTGCCTCAAAATAACAGTGGAAACCCCTTTACCCCCCGGGTTTTGAAAGCAATGAAACAAAACATTTTTTTAATTCTTCCAAAATCTTCCACCCCGCCCCCCCATTTTTTTTTCTGAAAGTACTTGCTGAAAGTCACTTGAATTTGCAAATCGCATCACAATCTCCCTGGATCTCTTTTGAGGTAAAAAAAAATCCTGAACGTATCTTACTCAGAGACTGGAGGACGTTCGGGGTCTTCCCCAGGAACTGGTCCAAATGTCTGGGCTGAAGTCAAATGTGGTCCTGATTTCGGAGCAAGCGAAGTGGACGTGAGGAAAGGGAGAGGAAAGCAGTGAAGAGGCAGGTCTGGAAGCAGAAAAGCTGAGAAGGAAGCAGGAGCGTGCTGCATACCAGGGGTCAGCAACCGGCGGCCTGTGGGCTGGATTCAGCCCCCAAAGAGCCTGGATCTGGCTTGTGGCAGGCCACAATGGGGGGAAATCAGTGGTGCATGGTACGGCTATGGCACCTTTTCTGCCCTGTGCAATGCATTGCTCAATTGTATGCCACTGATCCCACCCTGCAGCACCCCAAGCCTCCCAGCTCCAGGCCTCGTGCCCCACTACTGCAGACTCTGCTTACCCTCACCATTAAACTGGCCACTTGCCATTACCACCGGCCACAGAACCTGGTGGCACTCGATGGTGATGGCCAGCAGAGGCAGAGTTGCAGTAGAGAGGTGTGATGCACAGAGCAGGGAGGGCTGGGGATCGGGTTGTTTGCAAGCCCTCCTCTACCCACCTGTCAATGCTCAGGCCCCAGTGCTGAGCTGTAGCTGCCCAGCTCAGAAAGCAGAGTGTCGGGAAAATGCAGCTTGAACGTTACATCTTGACAGTGTATTTGTCATGCCCAGCAGCAGCATGACATCATACCGGTTGCCTCCTAAACCAGAAGCAGGGTAGGATCATAGGAAAGCAGGGCTGGAAGGGACCTCACAGGGTCATCTAGTCCAGCCCCTAGTCAAGGCAGGGTCATCCCTGACTAAACCAGCCCAGGCAGTGTGTGTCCAACCTGCTTTTGAACATTTCTAAGGACGGAGATTCCTTGGGTAGCTATGCTGTATGGGACTTTGGGTGGGCTGATTAGCTTAAGGGGTGGGCTGAATAGCCAGCAGTGCTAAATAACCTACCCAGAGCACTATGCATACATGGCTACACTGCTTCTGGCAGAGGAAGCAGCCTGCCTAGAGAAACTTGAGGATACCACTGCTGGGAGCAGGTAAGTGTACCACATAGATGGGGGCTAAGATACCTTAATGCCAGAGCAGGGTCCCAAAAGAGCATGCAGCCCCCACAGGCCAGCTGAGTCTTTCCATTTCTAGCACATGTGATTACTTCAAATGCAGAAGCACCACATTCATTAATGGAAAGTCCCACCTCCTCCCCCTTGTCCCATGGGCTGGTCAAGTGAAGGGGCTGTATCCCCTCCACATGCCATCGTTCTTCCTGCCACCACCCTGGCCAGGAACCAAATAGTGAACATTCAAGGTCCTTCTACACAACCCTGCAAGATCATACAGTAATTTCACTTGTCACATATTAATCAGGTATGAGATGTTGCCGTGTGCTTAATGGCACCTCAGGTTGGAATGGTCCTTGGTAAACAACAGCAGACAAAGCTGGAGCTCAAGCCTGGTGGAAACCTACAGGGCTCGTGCAGTTGCAGTAGTTTTCTTTGGGTGTGGACAAACCGACTGTTTGCACTTTTGTGATTTGTGTTACACCTATGTCAAAAAGTAGGAGAGAGATGATGCAAACCCCCAAACCCGGATAACTTTATCCAATCCAGTGGAGGATTACTCCTGAGAGAATGAGAGAGAAAATTCTACCAGGATAAGGTAAACCAGTGTAGGTGGTCTTTGTCTGCTTTCTTCCTAGGACAGCTGTTTCATAAATGCAACAGGCTCTTATCTTCTACCCTGCAAAGGTAGCGGCAAGATGCAACACGACCACCTACTACTCTGAAACAGTGGCACGTTTAGCTCTTCTGAACCTGGTGTATGGTATATAAAACAGGTGTGAATTATAATGGGGCATATGACCTTGTCTCCACACCTTTAAAAAACTCACCCTACTCAAGAGAGAATGACTTTATATGTCACAAGGAAGATGAGGAGACAAATTGCCCCTCCATAGATGCCTACAGTCATCCTTGACCATGGTGCTAGTTCTGAAAGGTAAAGAAGAGGTTGCATATGCCATATCCAACTCCACGAACCTGGGGCCAGGGAGAGCTGGAAAGATTTTTTACAAATTTTCTCTTTGTGGTAGGAGAAGCCAATTCATTGAACTGGAACATTTTCAGGGGGACATGTGTGTTGGGTGAAATGTTTGTTGGAAAGGTTTTAAGTCCAGGGTGGAATTTGTGGTCAACAACCAAAGAGAGGGCTCCATAGGGGTCTGGTAGGAAGGGCACTTATCTAGAGTACAGGTGACCCAGGCCCACTGGGGTGGCTCACTCCTTTTCTGTGTTTTCCCATGCAAAAATAAAAAGGGGAAAGTTCTCAGCTTCATTTGGATGTGGACTTGAAAAATGATAACATCTCAGAAAGTTTCAAAGACAGGACAACTATTTCCCAGCATGGCGAAGTAGCTGGAAGGCATCTGGGCTTGCTGGACACTGGGGAGAAGATAGGGTTGATGTATCACGTACTCCCCATTCCTCAGAGGGATATGCCTGATAGAAAGGGCAAAAAAGATTTCACGGTTTATCCCTATTTCATCCAGAGTCATTTCTGATATGGTTCAAGGTGATTTGCTGCCCTATAGCACTGCACTTTTTTAACCACAAAGCACTACAAGCATTACACCTGAGATACAATTCCTTCCCATTCAGCCCCCTACGCTAGCTTATACTACAAGAACTGCAGAGAAAGTCCTTGAGGTAAGATTCACCCACCTCATTACAAACACCCCTAAAATTAACTGCTTTGCCTGTTTATTTCCTCCCTTGAGATTTCCAAGCATTGCTGACCCAAAAAGTCACCTCCAAGCTCCTTAGGAGGATGCTACCATTTTAAGTCACTGCTAAGATTTCCTGCAGATTGTAAACTTTAATATAAAAGCCCGGCCCGAAGATTTGGCTTTAACAATTGAATCTAATTGAACCATATAAGCATCCCAAATCCCTGAATGCATCATTATCAGGCTGAATAAACCTAATTGCAATTGTATCCACATTCTAGAATTATATCTATTCATATCTCCAGAGCTGGGTAATCAGGGTCCGCTTATGATGCTCAGGCTAAATGCGTTTTAGCGCGATGGGTGCCCTAAGTGGCTACTTTCAGTTGTGGGTGCCAACTTGTGCACCAGTGGAGATGGGGGAGGAGATACTTGGATCAATAGGTCCGGTTCCCATTTATTTAGGGCTTAGGGGGTACAACTTTGCGTTCTCAACTAGACAGCAAGGCGTTTCTGCTACAATGCCGTGAGATCTTCTAGGAAATAGCCTCTTGTGCTATTCGTGTATTGAAATAGTTTCCAGTGATGCCAAGCCAAGGGTTGTGCTAGACCCTGACACCCACAAGCAGAAAAAAGGGCACTCTCAGTCACAAAAAATGGAGTATCCAGACTGCAGATAACATGCAATGGGGAGGCATGACATGGGAGTGTAATGGGGAGCCAGAGGCTGCTGTTACCTTAAGAGAAAAATGCAGCAGGCAACCTTGCAGTGTAAGCCTGCAGGCACTAAATGCATGGTAAGCACCCAAGTCACTCATGGGAGCTGAGAGATGAGTGCCCAAAGGGAGGTAGGGCTTGCAGGCATAAGCCCAGATTTCGGGGAGCTTTTTGTTGGAAGTGGTGGCTTTTATTTGTGTTGTGTTTGGGTTAGAAGTGGAGGACCAGGTTGCGGCTACAGGGGCAACGTGGAGGCCACAGGGATGCCCAAGGGATCAGGGACCATAAGGGGGCTGAGCGGCACCAGGGCTGCCTGGTCTGGTTCAGGGACCCAGGAAACTGAGGGGTGCATAAGCAGCCTTGCCAGAGTCAGGGACCCCAGGGGGCTGAGAGGTAAAAAAAGCAGGCTTGCCTGGGTCGGGGATCCTGAGAAGTGCAAGAGACAGCAGCCGAGGGGCTCAAACTGCGAGAGACAGGGGCTGGGGGGGCCAGAGACTGACATATGAAGAGGGCTGAGTTTGAGAAAGCCAGGCCACCACTGGAGTAACAGTGGGCTAAAGCCAAGAGGGCAGAAGCCCCTCCAGGAAGGTCTAGGAAATTGTCCATATAACACCTGAAAGGTATGGACATGGCTACAGGGGAGGACGGAGGCCACAATTATCACCCCTAAGATGGCTTGTGCTCTAGGGCATGGATAGGGCCAGGAGGCCAGGACTCAGTCAGAGGAGTGAATTACTCATTTAATTTTGGTGCTGATGAAAGGTACCACCAGATGAAGAGCACTGGAGACTGAAGCTTTCCATCTCTATTCCAACAGGCACAGCTTGAGTCACCTCCTGCTAAACCTATCTTTGGCTGATGGGGTGTTGGGAATTGCACTGTTCAATGGCTTTAGTATCCCAAACACAAGAAAGCTGGCCAGAGGCGCTAACGCAACAAATATGCCATGCTCAGCAGAAGTAATTGGACTGTGTCGCTGGATCAAGAGACTCGTTCAAGCACCTTGGGCTGATGACAAAAGCATGAGTGGAGGTTCAGTCTGCACAATCCTTCCCTTTCCATGGTGTTTATGGGCTTCTCTGTACCACAGGTGCAGCAGGTCCTGGACAGGACAGGCCCAAGTGCATCCCATCCATGCCCCACCTAACCATGCCTATAGGCATACTCCAAACCTGGAATTACATCGGTGAAGCCACTTTGGGCTTGTACCTAATGGCTGCTCTTAAACACAGTGGAGACTGAGGCCAGCAGGAGAAGATGAAGGAGGCATACTTGCCAGGCCCCACCTCCACACAGCAAACAAGCCCTACATGGAGGCTACTAAACTAGTGCCACCACTCAATGTGGTTAATTGTGTTGTGAGCACCTGCCTCCAAAGAACTGGGCTTGGATGATTCACCCATTTCACGTTAGGCCCCCGAACAGCAGCCTGGTCTGACATGCACAGACTGAAAGCAATGACTTAGAGCTGAAAGACTCTGAAGCTCATTACCAGGCCCCGAGCCAAATGATCCTTGCCATTGTCTAAGGAGTTAGGGGGAGGAATCTGGTGCTTAAACTTGTCAAGAAAAAGAAAACACAAGTCACAAAAATAAACTGAGCTGAAACACATTTGGTAGCTTTCCAAGGGAGGCTGGCCAGCTACTCGAGCAATCAGCCATATTTTAGAGCAATCAAGCGAAAATCAGACAAAGCAAACAAGAGGTTCATTCATGTGCAGTTATTGCCCGCCTTAGCGCTGACCTTTGTGGAAAGGAAAGACTTTCCCCATTTCAAAAGTTCAGGATTAATATTTAGCAACACGGCTCAGTGCCCCAACACCACCCTTTGGATGAACGCAGAGAAAGGCTCTGCAATATTTGCCAGACCCCTCCTGATAGAGACAGACACTGCTCTCTCCTTGGGTTGGGAAATTGGTCCATGTCTTCCTCAACTTAGGTGCCCATGTTCAGCCTCTAAGATGACCAAGAGGCTCATCAAAGTTTCCCTTGGTGACCTTCCAGCCCATGTCACCTCCATTATGAATCCCCTCCATTGGCTTGCCTTTAGCCGTCACTTCAGGTTCACCTTCCAAGCTCTCCATAGGTCATTCACACCTACAACCCTGAGCTGGTTTCACCTCAGTGTTGCCCTGATCTCCTTTTCCTCAGTCCTTTCTCTTTGCTGCCACCTCCACTCCTTTCTCCAAGAGCCTTTGCATATATAACATCTCTGACTGTGACCCTGAGAAAGCTTTGCCCAAAGCACCATCCTCCACCACCGGCCATTGCTCATGGGCTCCATGGACTCTGCCGCTCTCCAGGCTGCCTCTCCCTCTACATGCAAGCCCTCATTAAATTTGCTTTCTTCTGAGACCCATAAAAAGTGAATTTTTAAAAAGCATATAACTCCAAGCTGGGTCTTCCCTTGGGTTTTCCAATGCACCCTGCCTTCTGCAGAGCAAAGCTGTCTTCCATTTTCAGCTTAATCAATGCCTGCTGATACCAAGGGAAATGTTCCAGCTGGGTGTTTACTGAGACATCTGTCCTGTACAGCACCAGGTACATCAAGAGTTTGCAATAAGACAACACATAATTACCCTCAAGCCTAGTATAAAAGTGTTTCCAAACTTTTGATTCCTAGGGCAAGCTTTTTTTTTGGACTAAAACTGGTGGTGCATGTCACATGGATGGCCAGCCTTTGATGAGCAGTGCCAGGTCAGTCCGCAGGCCAGATCCCGTGCTGGGCCTGGTCCCAATGCATGGTGCCAGCATGGCTGGAGCCTGATCCCACCATACAGGACTTGGAAATCTAGTCCTTTCAAAGTCCACCGGCCCCTCCAGCCTGCCTCCTCTTGTTCCCTGCTCTTCATATGAACCACATGCAAAGCAGTTGATGGCCGCCTGAATAGAAACGACCTTGTTTCTTTGCTGGAAGAGAAGGATATAAGAGGACCAGACACAATGCAGATGCATTAAAATGGATCCAAAACCCAATAGGCTTGCTTGGGTGTTGCTTCAGGGGGTTGTTCTCAGAGCAAATGGCTGATTAGGACCAAGGCCAAGGCAGCATGTGTACTGCTTCTCTGGGCAGGGCTTGTGCTCAGTTGAAATTATGCAGCCTGCAGCCATATAATGGCCTTGCTTATGCCAACAGGAGGATTAAAGAAGCTCCTATATTAGCACCCAGTAGCTGCAGCTCCGGAGTGGAAGTGGATCCTGTCTGTGCATTTGTCAGATTGTTACTTGGGTTATCTCAACCGCATGCTTTTGTACGTCACCCATGGTTAACTGGAGATAGTGCAAGAATTTAAGCCAAGGTAAGCAATGGTGAGAAGGGTTGGTGTCAGGGGAAAAGTTAACGGTTCAAAAAGGAGCCATCCTTCCCACCTTGGGAGATGAGACTAAATGAAAGAGCAGCTGTAGCTCAGATGGCTGAAATTCAACACCAGCTCTAGGTACCCCGTTGCGTCTTCCACGGCAAACAGCCCCGGGATCGTGCTGGAAAGCAACAAAGCTGCCTTATTCCACACGCTCTTTGCTGACCAGCTACTCTGGTTCATCCACTCTGGTGCCACCCCTCTATCCCATGGAGGAGATGGAGCAGAGGTCACACATAAAGGAAGTCCACCAGGTTGTCTCCATCCTGGTGCCTCTCCCCTTGTTTCAGTCCATGATTGAAATAACGTCCTTGCAATATATCACATCCCGCTGCACTTTGCAGTTTGGAAATGAAGTCAGCGGCTGAAAGGGTGCAAAGCTTTGGGAGCTGCTGCTGATGTTGTGGAGAGGGGGTCTATGCCTGTTGGTGGCGTAGGGTTGGAGGCACTGCTGGTTAAAAGGGTGAGGCTGGTGGTTGCGGGGATGGGGTCAATGTGTTGACCCCTCTCCTGTGCTTCTCCAGCTGGATCCCATCATAGAGCTGGTCCAGCCCATCTCCCTGCCAGCATAAGGTTGCTCTGCACAGTACATCTGGTTGCACAAAGGCCATGGATGCAGGTGTCACGGAGGATGTAGTCTTTCTGGACTTCAGCAAGGCCTTTGACACCGTCTCTCACCCCATCCTAGTTAAAAAACTAGGCGACTGTGGCATAGACGCCTACACAGCCAGATGGATTGCAGATTGGCTGAGGGGTCGCACTCAGAGGGTGGTGGTGGATGGGTCATATTCGACCTGGGGGGAGGTGGGTAGCGGAGTCCCCCAGGGCTCGGTCCTGGGGCCTGCGCTGTTCAATTTCTTCATCAGCGATCTGGATGATGGGGTGGAAAGTAACCTGTTTAAATT